TGGTACTTTCAGAGCAATTGGGCGAAATGTGAGTGATGAAAAAACAGGAGTTTCTTTTTTGTCAGTCCGTGACGACAACTTTGGGACTTGAATGCGCCACTATCTGAAAAGATACAACTGGCGCACACAAGTCTCTGGAAAGCCCATTTCAATAGCCATTAACTGGATTAAGTGCAAACCCCGAGAGTTTTCGCGTTTATCGTACAGAAGAGAATAAAGTTTAAAAAAACGCTTCTAAAAGTCAGTCCGTGACGCGTGGACACGCCCTTTAACGAGTTACCCTACCGGAGACCAACAAATATCTGAGAAAAAACATGGACATGTTTTGCGGCCATTTTCGTGAAGAAAACTCCCTCTGCTGCCTGAACGGTTGAAGATAGAGGCAAATGGACAAAATTATCGCTCGAAGGACTATACTCTGATGAGTTACCCCCTGGGAAACAGTAAAACAAATGTTTTTTTAAAAACGTAATTTGGGGACCTGTGGTTTTTGATTTTTTTTAAAATCCAATTTTCGAGCTAGAATGCTCTCTTTCGAACTCGATCTGTCTGTTTATGACACAAAACGACTCTAAAAATCCCAGGTCGCTAGCTCAATTCGTTCTCGAGTTATCGTGATGACAAACAGACAGACAGACAAACAGACGCGAAACTTTTTGACCATCACTGCAGTAATAGGCTTCGCTAATAGCTCAGCCAATAGGGTATTTCAATGGAGCGCTGCCCGGAACTAAGAAGAACAAAAGCGGATACAGAGAGCGGTGGTAGGGGTGGGCGTTCGGAGGAGCGGAGGGCGGGCGGGGAGGCTCCCCTCCACCCGCCGCTCCACCGCGCGCCCGCCCCCACCACCGCTCTCTGTATCCGCTTTTGTTCTTCTTAGTTCCGGGAAGCGCTCCATTGAAATACACTATTAGGGACATGAAACTTTTGCTGTTCGGTAACGGTTTTCATTCAAAGTTGGAATTTTGACAGATTGTTATGTAAACCTAGGTAGATGTACGCCAGACCACGTCTCGCGTAACAGGCTTCGCGATATCTCACGAAACACTGTTGCGCTGCGACGCGCCTGGCATACATCTACCTACGCCCGACCGGCCCGACGATTTTTGTTCTTCTCCTTCCGGTCCAGTCGAGCCCCGGAGTGCCCAATCCGGTTTGGTCTTCTTAGTTCTGAAGAAGTTCTGAAGAAGAACAGCACGAATAACAAGGTGGCCCGTGATTCGTCGCCCGGTTTTCCCCCTCCAACTAAGCGACGAATCACAGGCCTCCTTGTTATTCGTGCTGTTCTTTTTTTGTTTTTTTTTTTAATTTTTGTTTTTTTTCTGAAATAGCTTCTCGCCCTCCTGGTACTGTACGTGAGATGGCCGGCCGCTCTCTGCCGCCCCCTCCCTGCCGCACGCATCTCGCCGCGCCGCCCGTGGGAGTTCGGCGCGTCGCTCGCCAGCCAGTCCGGTCCGGTCCAGTGCGCCCCGCCCCGCTGCGTCGTCAGTGTCAGTCATCACGCCGGTCAGCTCAGAGCCGCCGCTACGCGCTACGATACGATGGGGTCGGCGCACGGCGCTCTGGCCGCTTCCATGCAGGAGATCCAAGACGCCCAGGCCGCCGCCCAGGCCCAGGCTGCCGCCCAGCAGGGCCCCGGCGAGGGCCCGTGCCACTGCTGCGACAGCCGCCGCGTGCTGGGCGACCTGGAGTGCCCCTTCACGTGGGCCGTGCCGCCCATGGGCCCCGAGGAGGCCGCGTACGCCGAGGACAAGATGTTCATGTGGGCCGAGCCGTACGTGGCGGCCGCGGACAAGATCGCCCTGGCGTACAGCCGCCACTGCGAGGGCCGCCACTGGGAGGCGCGCGCCCACCTCGTCGAGTGCTACATGTTCCTCATGGCCGCCGACGTGCCGTCGTCCGCCTGGCCCCGCCGCTGCGAGGTCTACGACGTCTACAGGTGAGTGCCGCACTGTTAGAAATATCACACTATTTATTTCGGTTGGTATCGGTCATTCATTTGCCTGGAAGGGTGTTTTAAAGTGAAAGTTTGAGCGCGACTTAAGTATGGTTCCGAATCTCGGATTTTCCATATCCGATGTAGGTATCTATCGAACCGTATCCAAGTTCTGGCGGAGCGTAGCGGGGCGCAGTGGTGGGAGGAACGATAACAAAGCAAAAAGCGGTCTGAGAACTATATTTTTCGATTGAAATCTTGCTTCAACTCCAGAAAAAGATGGTTTCTGCTTTGTTGTGGTTTCCCCCGACCACTGCACCCCGCCCCGCTAAGCTACACTCCGCCATTCTAGACAAGCCCTTCATTGCCTGGTCGCACCGCACCGACATGAGTACGCTGTTTTCTGTGAGTGCAGAGTGCAGGAATAAAGAATTCCGGTAAAGCTGAAATGCAGAAGAATGCAGGGAACAACAAAACGAAAGTCGCTATGTTGCAGCATAGCAATTTCCGTTTTCTTCCTCCCCGCATTCTTTTGATTTCAGCTTTAACCGGAATGGTACTTTGTTGATATGCACTAAAAGTACGGTTTATCTCAAGTATAAAATTCTACTTGCGGTGTTGCCACGTTGTGGGCGAAAAGGTCTTTAAAGCATTCCGGTTAAGCCAAAATTCGGAAGAATGCGGGGAAGAAGAAAACGGAAATTGCTATGCTGTAACATGGAGATTTCCGTTTTCTTCTGCCCCGCATTCTTCTGTATTTCAGCTTTACCAGAATGCTTTATTTTATCATGGAGCCTTACGGGTACCACCATAAATAAATATGGATGTCCTGTATTTCATTTTATAGGCAAATCCTGTACTTTTCCTGCTCCTTGCCTCAGGACTTTAACTGAGATGGGCTTAGGATGGGTATTTTGGTTAATCGGATGAGGGAAAAATCACAAAGATTCATAAAAGTGCCGAGAACATAATTTTTTAACTTCTTGCCGATCTCATTTTATGACCTTTGTGCCATATCAAGTTTTAAACAGTACTTTCTTACCAAAAAGTGTTTAATGTTTGTCATGTAAGCTGTTTTCAGTATATTTCTGGTCCTTTGTGTAACTTTACGTTCTTCTGTCCCCTTGTCTAACAAGTCACCTGGGAAGCAAAGATATTTTAAGTAACAATCGCATTTTATTCAAGTGATTAAAAATTAATATGAGTATATGAACATTAAGATGCAAGGTAGTGGCGCTATGAGGGGCTTGCCTAGAGAGGCGTAGTGTAGTGGGGGGGGGGGGGGGCACAACAAAGCAAAAATCTTCTCTTTCTGGAATTTCAGCAAGTTTTCAACCGGAAAATATAGCGATTTTTAATCTGCGAAGTCGATTAAAACAAGGTTACAGTAGACCATTTCACCCGCCAGCGATTCGATATCTCAAAGAACAATAATACCGGAAGTCAGCGTTATGTGTCTTTCATAATAGGGGTTTGTCGTCAATGTGACTCACAATAGGGTATTTCACCTGACGCAAACCGGATCCAAAGAAGAACAAGAGTTCTTCCTGAATTCCTTCCTCCTTGGCGCTCATTGGCCGTCGCCGCGCCGACGAAGTTATCGGACCCGACACTAGGGGTCGACCGCCCTTGCGGCCCGTTCATGAACTTCTTCGTCGGCGTCAGCCAATCAGAGCAAGGGAGAAAAGAGTTCAGGAAAAGCTCTTGTTTTTCTTTGGATCCGGTTTGCGTCAGGTGAAATACCCTATTTACTCTTCTCCGACCTAAATAGACCTTTTCGCCCACAACGTGGCAACGCCGCAAGTAGAACCTTATACTTGAGATAAACCGTATTTTGACTGTCTGTCAACCAAAGTACTCATCACCACTGGATTCCTTGGAAAATTTACCAGAGACAAGTGTTTTTGCTTTTTGAAAATTTGCCTAAATTACAATTTCACTACAAAGATTTGCGTTGTTGCCAAGTTGTGGGCGAAAAGGACGTTCTATATAGTCAAAAATGTATTCTTACTGCTCAAACCGCTTCTGTAGACCTTCTGAGCCGCTTGGAGCGCATGAGCAGTCTATTAAATTCGGACGCAATTCAATTCTCAATTTTAAGAGAAATCTGGGCGTTGCCTGCTCATGCGCTCCAAGCGGTTTAGAAGGTCTATCGTCGCGGGGAGGAGCGGGGCAGGGTGGGGGCAGTTCCCCGCTCCTCCCCGCGCCCGACCGGCCCGACGATTTTTTGTTCTTCTCCTTCCGGTTTAGTCGAGCCCCGGAGTACCCTATCTATAACGTGTTCAATGGCCAAGAACGTTCCATAAACTGCCCGACTCGAAGTATTTTTGTTGAGATCATTTGAAATATCTTAAACTCAAATTAAATCTTTTGAATAGAGGGTGCCCGCTCTGCGCGTTTCGAAAAGAAGTAAGTAAATCAGGACCGGAACCTGTATGAAAAGTCCCCATATTTTTCCTACACACTAATATCTTATGAACATTTTTGTTCACAGTTACTGATTTCTGTAAACATGCTCGGCTTACGCATTTTTTAATGCGCCAGTATGAAGAAATTTGTGCATACTAGCGTATTAAAAAATGCGTAAGCCGAGCATCCTCGATGTCTCGAGCGCGTATTGGACGTGTCTGTAGCGAGTCTTTGCTTTCCCCACGGTGGAGAGAGAGAAGGTGGCGGCACGAGGGTCTCCCAGCATAGGGACCCGTGGGTCCAGAATCTCGACAGGTTGGGGGATTATCGGCCGAGTCGGGGCTATCTAACGTGCCGGTACGGAGTACCTGCAGTCGGGGCGGCCTATGCAGATACCTGGGCCGCCCCGACTTAGCTTGAGCGGCGCCGACCCTCGCCCGGGCTCACCCGGCCGGAGTGTGCGAGGTAGAAGTCAGGTACGAGCCCGTCCCGCGCAAGCTGAGTCTGGGCTTCCCACCTACCTACCTGCACGACGGCCCCAACTGAAGGTAGTGTGAACAGGCCCTACAGTTGGCCCCGACTAGGGCGTTAATCCCCCAACCTGTCGAGATTCTGGACCCACGAGCAGACCCCTCGTGCCGCCACCTTCTCTCCCTCCACCGTGGCTTTCCCTGTGCACTGGCTGTGTGCTGTGTGTTGTCTATTTCTGAGACACCCTGAAGCCGCTTTTGTTTTGTACGGGCTGAAAACCCACAATTTTTTGAAATCTGGACTAGTAAACATTTTTTAGCGTAGCCAATGAAGTCACAAGTACTCTTTACGCATCCATTTAGTTTATTTACTATTCCACTGTACTCTAAAATTTATGAAAAAAGTGTTAAATTTCTGAATTTTTGTCTTAATTTTACTAAGGTGATATTTGAGGATACCTTTTGTATCCATAGTAGTAAAAGTAGGATCACTGCACTGTAAATTGCTTACGAACTATAGGTTCGTAATGCAAACTAAAACGTTCGTAGCTTACGAAGGATTTTGAAGCGTTGTATTACGAACTAATAGGGTATTTCAATGGAGCGCTGCCCGGAACTAAGAAGAACAAAACCGGATACAGAGAGCGGTGGTGGGAGCGGGCGCGCGGAGGAGCGGCGG